AATATAGAGAAAGGTCTACTAGAAAAGGGGCTTTCAAGTAAATTAAGAAATAAGGTAATATAGAGAAATGTCAACATAGGAGAGAAAGTCTTGAAAAAGATTATATTCGGACGTGAGCCTTGACCAAGAGGGAAACTCCATTTTGTGCTCGATCTCTTCTGTCATGCATCATGGCTGGGTGCGTTGTCCCATTGCGAATGAACCTCTATACTTCCAATCGGGTCATGCACTTCTTCAAGATGTGGAACCTGGGAGCTTTCCTCTTATAAATAAATAAGGCTAAATCTTTCATAGAGGGTAAGGATGGTGTCGAGGTCTTAATAGAAAGGGGTTGATAGTCCCGCCTGCTAGGCTTTTCCGAACTTCCCTCTGCTTTCAGTAAAAATACCAAAAGCCTATTCTGTAGGCACTCTTTCTCTTATAGCGCTCTTTCCTTCCCTTCGAGCTAGCTGGAAATAATCCATTTCTTTTGTCTGTAAGAGAAAATGCGCTTATTCCATGAAAGAGGAGCGCAACGGAGTCATGAACAAACAAGAATAGCCACTCCCTTATCTAAACTATTGGCTTTCCTCCCCTAGTGGGAAGTAACAAGAGCCTTTATCTAATCTACTATTGAACCATCTCACCTGAAAGTAAGTCGCTACCTTAAGGCATGCCTTGACTCCACTCAATGGGACTTGCTTTCCCAAAGAGAAGACAAAGACGATGACACTGGGGATGGTTCTTACTTAAATAAATTCGCATGAGCCGCCTTCAGCTGGTAACTCAAAACTCGATGATTTTTGGCCACTAACTTACTTCTTTCACTCAAATGCCACCGATGCCTAAGACATTGAGTTGGACTACATTCCTTCTGGTAATGCCTTTCCCTGTGGTCACCTTTCCCTTCTACAGTTCGAAACTTTAATACAACCTTTTCTAATCCTGTTGGAGGGGGAGACCCCATATTATACCAACATCTCTTTCGGTTCTTCGGTCATCCAAAGGTGTATATTTCCATTCTTCCTGGATCCGGTATCATAAGTCATATCGTTTCTAACTTTTCGGGAAAACCGGTCTTCGGGTATCTAGGCATGGTTTATGCCATGATTAGTATAAGTGTTCCTGGATCTCTTGTTTGGGCTCATCATATGTTTACTATAGGCTTAGACGTTGATACCCGTGCCTACTTCACTGCAGCTACCATGATCATAGATGTCCCCACTGGAATCAAAATCTTTAGTTGGATCGCTACCATGTCGGGGGGGGGGGGGGTTCGATACTATACAAAACACCCATGTTATTTGTTGTAGGGTCCGTATTTTTGTTCACCATAGGGGGACTCATTGGAATCGTTCCGGCGAATTCTGGGCTAGACATTGCTCTACATGATACTTATTATGTGGTTGCACATTTCCATTATGTATTTCTATGGGAGCCGTTTTTGCTTTATTTGTAGGACTTCACTATTGGGTAGGTAAAATATTTGGTCAAACATATCTTGAAACTTTAGGTCAAATCCAATTTTGGATCACTTTTTGCGGGGTTAATCCAACCTTCTTTCCCATGCATTTCTTAAAACTTGCGGGTATGCCACTCCGCATTCCAGATTATCCAGATGCTGACGTTGGATGGAATGCCCTTAGTAGTTTTGGCTCTTATATATATATGTAGTTGGGATTTGTCGTTTCTTCGTGGTCGTAACAATCACTTCAAGTAGTGGAAACAACAAAAGATGTACTCCAAGTCCTTGGTTTGTTGAACAGAATCCAACCACAAAGGAATGGATGGTATATAGTCCTCCAGCTTTTCATACTTTTAGAGAACTTCCAGCTATCAAGGAGACGAAAAGCTTTGTGAAGTAAAAGAAAAAAAGGCCACTGATTGCTACTAAGAATCTAACAGAACTTTTCAAAATTGAAAACGGATCAGTCGAGCTGGTCTACGAATCTATTCTAACTATCAACGAATTCTTCAAATTTTAGGCGGGATGGGGATTGTAATTATTTCGACTTCTTGAGGTATAATGACAGATTGGGTAGCTAGATTCGAAGGAATCAGCGGATCAATTTTTTGTTATATATGGTAATCCTTCTGCGAATTAGATACTAAATTGACTATTTGTGAAAAAAAGAGAAAGGGCGGGTTGTATAATCCAAGGTTCTAAATGGTGTGAGGCGTGATGTGGCGGAAAGGCCAAGCCTCAAGCTTAACGAGCCATGACGTTTTTCAAGGCGTGATGTAAGGCGGCGATTTTGTATTAATTTATAATTATATTACCACATAAATATAAATTTATATTGAATATAACTACGTTTTAGAAGTCTTATACCAATAACTCATAACAAAAAGTTAACAAAAAAACACAATACTTGTATCCCCGATTAGAAAAGACATAACAAAGAGCAAAAAAACGTGTCTTAAACGAAAAAACATGCGCCATAACACGACATAATGCGCCATGGCACGCCATATCATGCGTTACCTAACAACAATGTTATGAGGCTTTTCGTAATGGGGAAGCCACGCCTCACGCAATGGAACGCCTTGGCATGCCTTTTAGAACACTGGTATAATGTCACTCCTCCCCCATTAGTTGAGACTTCAAGGAGGTTTTCCCCGGAATGAAAGAAAAAAAAAAGAAACCGGTTCACTTAAGAATGGACGTCCTGGTTCACGCAAGAGTGTACGTAGAATACCTAAAGGGCTTATTCATGTTTAAGAAAGCTTCAACAATACCATTGTGACTGTTACATACGTAAAGGGTCGGGTGTTTTATTGGGCCTCCGTCGGTACTTGTGGAAGAGGGGGTACAAGAAGAGGGACACCATTTGCTGCTCAAACTGTAGTGGGAAATGTTGTAAAGTAGTGGAGCAAGGTATGCAACGAGCAGAAATTATGAAAAAGGGTCCATGTCTCGGAATCCCATCTTCCAAGGTCAGGAGCCACAGAGCCAGAAGACCGTTCGACGATCCTACTTCTGATTTCATCCCCTTATATTCCCTCCCTGTTGAATATACCAACTATTCTATATCCAATTATGGGATGGATCATGAAATATTTTTTCGTGAAATGTCGATAAGGAATAGCCAGTTATAGAAGCGGGTGGCAGGGAATGAAAGCACTACTGTGCTATCAAAGTAGAGATTTTAGTTAGATATAGGGACAAGCCATCTATTCCTTCTTGACTTTCTTCAAGATATGAAATGAGCAGCCGTTTTTCGTGCATCATATCACTATTCGAAAAGTCAATCCTGCTTACCGACTCAATATATCTCTCAATAGATTCGCTTGCCACAATGACCGGACAAGATAGGAGATCACCCAACCTTCTAATTTATCTTTTTGAAGAAACTATAATGGATGGGAAGCTTCCCTACCCACTGTGGATTTTGTTTACCGAAAGGAAATCGAATTGATAAAAAAAGAGAAATAGGGCCAACTCTTCTAGTTGTGCCTCTAACCTTACTACGCTACCCTGATAAAATGCCGAATTCAGCGGGACTGCGGCCACGAAATGCCGATCAAGTCCGTTAAAGTAAGCCTAATCAAAGTGATCAAACAAGAAGATCTGACTGAGTTGATGATGGACCGGATCTCGAAAGGCGAAAGGCTTTCATAAAGACGTATGAGAAACAGAGTGTCGAGAGAGGCCTATTGCACGATCCACCCAACGGCTAATAAATGATGTATAAGATAAGAGAGTGGGAGGCCGACCCTCGCCCATCTGGAGGTGCACACCCATTTATGAACATATTTAAAGGGCTAAAGAGAGAGGTCCATGGAGAACTACCAAATCCAATGACTTTGATTTGTCACACCCTTCTATCATCGATCACTGCTGGGTCAGTTGGTGAGTCACCCAAAAAAAGCATCGAGAAAGGTCAAGCATATATGTTTTATGAAATGATCAGCGGTTTCATTTATGCTATGACCTGCATCATGTTCGTCTGTGTTTATTGAGCTTTCAGCGCCATGCGCTTTGCTTCTCTTTATAAAAGAGAGAGATCCTTGTCTTGAGAGCGAAAAGAAAGGGAAAACGATATAAAGGATAGTCCCTCGCGTGTTTGTGAGAAGTACTAGAAAATGGTGAGATCATTAGATCAATAGTGAAAGAAGGAACAACGACGATCCTATCCTAAAGGAGAAGAATGAGTAGGAGGAGTCAGTTTTCTTCGAAGATCGAGTAATCAATCTCCCAATTATGCCATTCGGAAAAAGTCTTTGACAGAGGTAAAGCATGTTATGAGTAAGTGGAGAGGAAAGATCTCCAAAGATTCTTATCTCATTCCATTCCAGTGGTTCAACCAGTAACCAATGGAGAAAACTAAAAAATCCATGGTTTTCCGGTAGAACCCTATTCCGCCCAAGTTGTTTCAGAACCAGAAAAAAGAAGCGGTTTTTCGCACAACTTGTGCATAGTGCAGGTCCCACTTGTATATCATATTTGGCCAAAGAAGCATCATACAAGTTGGATTTCTTACCTTCTTGGGATTCCATGGACTAAGATCTACTTTTATTATATGGGTAATACTGATCTACTTTAGTAGATCATATGGATGTAGAAAAAGCTTCTCATTTTGATGAATTGGAAACATCTCTTTTCCATTTCTATTTACCCAGTACGTATCTTTGTTTCATGTGTTCCCTGGAGGAATTAGATCTCTTCAATCTTGGGATACCACCTAAATAACTATAACTGCGGCCAAAGAGTCAAATAGGTTAGAGGCGCAACTAGAAGAGTTCGCCCTATTTTTCTTTTTTGATCAATTCGATGGTAGTCTCCGAAGTCCTTCTTGATCGATGGTCCCCATTAGAATTAGTGCTAATTAGCAGCCACTTTTTTTGGAAGGCGAGATATTTATGTGTGATCGCGGATTCCAAAGTAGCAGTAGTTCTAGCTTTACATTAGGAGTAGGGGGTTCTATCTAAAGGAGGTACGGACCCCTCACATAGTACGATACGATGCAAACGAAAAACTTAATAGGCTACCATGACTCACTTCGCTTTTGTTGTGGAGCTCACTGCTTTTTGGAGTAGTGCTTGCAGCTTGTTGCTTTCTGTTCAAGAGGAGCTCGTTGTCTACTCCATGAGTCGCCATAGCTTCGCCTACGCCACTTGTATATAGACAAAAATAGCGCCCAAGATTTCCCCTTCGCGTAGTTCATTGAACCTTCCAACTCCACTCTGTGGCCTATGCTAAAGAAGCGTGTCGTAATTAATTCCTTCAAACTCATTTCACCTATTCTACCTATCGATATCTCCTCACCTTGCACCTTTTCTTTCTTTTCCTCATCCCATGATCCTTTCCCATGTCGTGGAAGGGAACTCCATCGTCGCTCCTTCATTCTTCATAACGAATATAACCAAGATGCCAACCAATAAAGTAAGCACCTTCATTTACTGAGACCGTGGAAGCTCCGTTAGCACCTTAAGGCTGTCTGTATCCTGAGAATCCTCGGGAATATTCAGAGACTTGGCTACTGATTTTAGGCCCACATTCGGAGACAGACCAAGCACCTCTCTTACCCACTCACTATCTAATAAACCAGACATGCTTATTATCTGAATGAGATTAGAAAGAGAGGAGGTAGCCTAAATCTTCCAATAGGCACATATGAAAGGTTCTAAAAGAATTGAAAAAGCTTTGACAAATAAACAACCCGGCCTGAGGAACTACCAATAATAGAAGAACTAGCAACAGCGCGAGAAACCATTTCTAACCTCAGCTTCGCCCCTTCCTCGGGATTCTTTCTTTGATGATATGCCCTAAGCCCCTTTCAGAAGATCGAAGTCGTTAGTGCTTTGCATAAGGGCTAAGAACGCCATAAAGACTATTGGTACCTATCACACACTAGACTTATTCTATGGGCTTGAACTCCTTTCCCTGATTTAAAGGGATTTTCTGAAGGTCTTCCTCAAGGGCCACTTGGTTCTCAAAAAGGCAGTTACCCCCGGCTAGAGTAGAAGTAGGAAAACCGATGTTTCTGGGGGGGGGGGGGGGAACTACGGGAAATGAAGACAGGTGGTTTGGCGAGATTATAACTTCTGGCTCATTGCAATTCCATTTCTTAAAGTGAAAGTCCAGTTTTCTCTTTTTATGAAAGTGAAAGTCAGGTTATCCCCTTCTTTCAATTCCACAGATGCTCTCAAATTGCTGTTCAAGATTATATTACCCTAAGGCTTCTCGTAGTTAGGAAATCTTGGCAGAGCGTAGCATGTATCCAGCCATCCGAACTACTTACTGAAGGGAGAGCACCAACGAATTACTCACTTCGTTCACAATGCAGGAGAGAGACAGAGAGGGGTCAGTAATAACTCACAGCTGGGGTAAAAGGGCCTACTTCCTTACTCACTCAAGTCATTGCTTTGATCGAACCATAGGCCGAAAAGAAAAGATTTTTTAGATACTTGTTATAGGCCTGACCATGAGAGCAAAAGAGCTTTATTTAGAATTAGAGTAAGGGCATGCCATTTGAAATGCCTTTTCTTGCTTTTGACATGACCCCCTTCCGAAAGGAGAAAAAAGATTACGCCAATGCCAATTGCCAATGATATTGAGTTTCTAGCAATTACGACTATAAAGGGCAGGAGATGAATTAAAGAATTATACTGCAACTGCTGAAGAGAGATCAGAGCTAGTACTAGAGGAAGCGATAGCGGAAAAAAGAGCTCAGAGAGCAGTGTAGCTAAGCAGGAAGATCTGTGATCTATTTGAAAGAGCATATCGCAAAGACCAGTATATTGCACATACTGATTGATTGATTATATAGATTGAATCTCAATTAAAGAGTTATGATATATCTATAGTACCCCCGCCGATGAGACTTTCCAGTTCGAGGCTAGAAGCTACCAACACTTTAATACAAACAAAAACATAAATCGGAATTCGTGGAGCCCGAGGCCTTACAGAAAAAGATCGATGAACGATTAAGCGAGACTTTTCCTTAGAGACCAATGAAATGAGACCAAGAGGCTTTATTACACAAAAGTTCTTTGAAGACCTTTTGCTTCTGCTTCCCTGCTTACTATTGCTATCACATCAACTGATTTGACCTGCTCACTTAGAGTGAAGATCAATAATGGGCGGAAAAGAGTTCACACAAGACCATAGAGCAAGAGAGAGAGAGAGAGAGAGAGAGAGAGAGAGAGAGAGAGCCGTCGCTTATATGTTTAATCGTGCCCTCCTATCACACCTATCTCCCTTTTTCTTCAGTCACATCCAGTCTCAGTTCTGCTTCCAACTACCGAGCTTGGACGTATAGCAAGATTGAACAAGAGATATGGCATACGGGAATAGTATATGAAATCACAAAGGATGGAAAGAGACTAGAGAGGAGCCTGGGAAATACTTAATAAAGCACCTTAGCAATTACTAGTAATGCCCATATCGACCTCAATCTTGTTTTTTGCTAGCTTTAGTCTAGAACTAGACTATCTCATTAAACGTCGAATATCCCTATGATGCTAGCCAGTGAAAAAGGAAGGACTGTACTTCTTTGCTGGCTTGACTCCAAAACTAGTAGAGGAAGGAAGCGATGATCGATCTATCCCATTAAGCATAATCCCGCTATCCAATGAAAGGACTACTCTTCTTGGGCTGTGAGCAACGACACCAGATCAGAGCTTAGTGAGAGACGATAAATGTGATTAAACTGCTTTATAACTGCTCAATTTATAAGTATTTCCTAAGTCCTAGACTTTAATGAAGCAGCCTAGATGAAATTCATATTTTCTTTTGCTTTTCTTCTATTGTTCTCTTTTCTTAGTTAGGCCTAAGAAAGTACAAGATATAGCTTGACTAATATACTAAGATGATTGCTAGAGGCTAGAGATGAGAGTGTAGGATCTAGATTTGTAACAAATATTCGACTTTGCTTATGAAAATACTTATGTACGAAAACCAAAGAATATCGTCGATGGGATACAAAAAAAGAGGATCCTACTTCGCTCATGCACCCTCTTTTCACCCTCTTACCGCTGGTAAAGCTAGCAGTCTAATAAAATATATGCATGTTAAGACAACACACTAGTACATTTTCATTGACCACTAAGACCAATCCCTAATCCCGGTCTTTCAACTAATAAAGATGGCATAGTAGAAAACTTCAGAATGACTATCATCGCACTTGAAGACCACCCCAGAGAGTTCTCCGGCTTCTTGTGATGAGCGCAGCGCAGCAAACGGTGTTTGCGCCAGAGGAGGGTGGTGAGAACCATTGAGCCATTGGCTTGCTGAGCTTTTCTGATTTGGGTTTCACACCCACATCACTGAGAGGAGGGATTTTATCGTTATAGAAAATAAAGGTCAATGAAAGGATTCAGTAATGATGTCGTGCATCACCATTGAGTGTTGTGCTGAAGAGAAAAAAAACCGAAAAAAGTTCCCCACATTCGGGAGAGAAAAGAGAAAACTGCAGTCAATGATCACTTATGTGACTTCGTCGTATAAGCATATCTTTACTGAAATTCATTAGGGATGATTTTGCCCATTCCATGAATGAGAGTGAGTCTATACCATCTTCCTTCCCTGGATATGTTGTGTCCTCTACATTCGCCTTGTCCCTCTGCCTCTACTGTGCAAAGATTTTGATCCCCTATTTAGTGAGTCGTGAAAGCACCTAACTTATGTTTAGACGTATTGGTTTCAGTGAAAAGCCAAATAGAGACTTTTCTGTGTGCCTACTTTAGTAAGAGTAAAGAAAAACCTTGAAAAGCACACTTGCTTTAACAATGAAAAGAGGTTCCTTCATCGGTTCAGCTTTTCATGATTGTTGTGTTTGATTGGGAACGGGAATTCATGTCCTTACTTAGAGGTCAAGTTTCCACCTGTCTATTGAAGGGGGATTTCCCAGCCTATCTCGGTATATGTTACCGAAAGAAGGAAGAAGAATCTAATGATTTAACTAATTCTGTGAGAAAGAAAAACCAGTTTGTTAGAGCTGGGGCAGAGAATTAATCAACATAATGGGTCCCTATTGTTCACAACTGAAGGCATTGAACGGATCAAGATCTCGTAAATTCATTGTCTTTCTTGATTCGAATCAGAAATAACTTCTTTCTCTATTGAATCCATTCCTGATCTGTCTTCTTATTAGCGCCCCTCTTCTGCATTAGGAATTGCCTAAAAAGGTTCGATTGAATCCCATTCTTTCATGGTCCGTATCTCTGCCCGATACTGGCCGATATGTAGGTCTATTATGTGCTTTCTTAGGTGGTATCCTTAGTAGCTTTGACAACATTCGTCTCTGTGTGATCCCTCATCTCATGCTGCTACTACGTCTTAACTTCAAGTGGGAGTGATGGATGAGTGAAGATCGTGAGCTCTTTCTTCCTTGTGAACTGACTTCAACTGAAATCGAGCGAACCGACTTCTCCTTTTGAGCATAGCATGCTTTTGGGGAGTAAGTCACTTAATATAGTATATTATATGAGATCGATTCTTACACAACATTCCATTGATTTTGAAAGAGAAGGTTTCCTCTCACCTAAAGAACGGATCAGAGAACGATGACCTACGCATTGCAGCCACAACATTACTGGGCAAACTAGTATAGATTCTGGAAACTCCAGATCCCCCTAGTTAAAGATTATAGCTCACAATCAGAACCATCTAAAATAGCGTCTATGATGGATCCATTACGAATGTCTCAACCCGGAATACCATCACCCAGGTTTCACTGATCGAGCAACGCAGTTATTTCGCGGACCTTTCTATTCCTAGTTAAAGTGTAGGCCTTTTGGACTTAAGCTGGGATTTGGCATTCCGAAGGCCCCAGGTGTTACTATCATTTCTAAGCATCGTCTATACTTAACAGTTTCCTTTAGTGTATTTTTCAGAGATATCTTGATTATTCAAAAAAACAAAAAAAGGGACAAAAGAGAAGAAAAAATGTAGTTTACTTACTTAGTGCTTATACGCTAAGGGAAGAAAGATCGAAAAGTCGAAACTTTCGAAAGTCCACTCACTCTTCTCAAAATATATTAAGAGAAGAATGATCTATGCTACGAAAAGGAGTAAGTGGAGAGAGCATAAAGAGCTTACTTATAAGGTACGAGCTTAGAGCCTTGCGTCCCCTTGAGCACCCTTGGAAGGATTTGAAAGGATCTTATCGTAGATAGAGACTGAAACCTGTGCGCGGGTAGGGGCGAATGTAGCCAATTTGATCAAGGCAGTGGATTGTGAATCCACCACGCGCGGGTTCACTCCCCGTCATTCGCCCATCATAAAATGGACCATTTGTTACGGACACAAAAGACAAGCCTAGAAAGCTTTTTTTCTACAAGTCATCTCGAGGCTTCAAACGCATCCAAGCAATTGGTACTCGATTAAAGCAAAGAAATAGAT